AACTGCTAGAGAGGGTTTTACGAACATCATTATTCAAAGTCCTACAGGTCCACCAACACATTTTTTACTCTAATATTATCAAAATAAGATTCAAAAATATTAAGAAAGAGTTCTCTGACTCAGGATACTATTATTTGCTTCATGTTAGAGAAATTGCACACAAACCTATTGATTTTCACATCCTAAAATTGAGTGTCCTTTACTGCCTGAATTTCAAGATCTATATCCCGATGACCTAACAAATGATCTCCCGCCTTATAAAATATCCAACATATCAGATTTTATTCTAGGTTCATAGTTTTCAAATCTACCCTATTATAGGATGAACTCCATTAAGCATGTTGAACTCAAAAGGCAAGTTGATGAAATATCAAAGAAATGTTTCATCCAAGATAGCCTTAGTCCTTATGTAGTTCGAACATTATTAGTCCCTAGAAAGGATGACAATTGGAGAATGTACATTTATAGTAGAGCAGTCAACAACATCACTATCGAATATAAATTTTCAATTCCCCAATTTGATAACATGTTAGATCTTGTTGGAAAAGTCACAACTTTCTTCAAGATTGGCCTGAGAACTGTCTATCACCAAAGAATGGTAAGGGTAGTGATGAATGGAAGATATCTTTTAAGACTCCTAATCGACTATATGAGTGGTTGGTCGTGCCATTTGGAGTATCCAATGCCCCCAATCCTTTTATGAGACTCATGAATACAGTTCTAAAATCCTTTATAGGAAAATTTTTTGTGGTATATTTTGATGACATTCTCATCGTCAGCCCCAATGAGAAAAACCACATAAAACACCTAAATTCAGTGCTACTTAAGCTACAGGAGAAAAAACTCTACATCAATATTAAGAAATGTTCCTTCTATATCCTCGAAGTTACTTTCTTAGGATTTTTTGTGATTGTTGATGGTTTGAAAGTTAATCAAGTCAAAATTCAAGCCATCTTAGATTGACCCATACCTAAGAGCTTAACTAATGTCCATAGTTTTTATGGCATAGCTACCTTCTATCGAAAGTTCATTAAGAATTTCAACACAATTGTAGCTCCTATCACAAACCTATTGAAGAAAGATAAGCTTGTGTGGATTACATCAACCCAAAAGGCCATGGAATAAATCAAAGTCCTTGTGACCTCGTCTCCTGTATTAAAGTTTCCTTATTTTAACTAAATTTTTTAGGTCATTTATGAAGCCTCTGGTGTAGGCATTGGTAGTTTTCTTAGTAAAAAAAATCACCATGTTGCCTTCTACAGTGAAAATTTGAAAGAAGCAAAACAATAATACTCTACCTATGATAGAGAACTCTATGAAAATATTCAGATGCTCTGAAATTTACCTCTTAAAGAGTTTATTCTGAACACTGAACATCATGCTCTGAAGTTCATTAACACCCAAAAGAATTAAGCTATAAGCATGCTCAGTGGGTTGAGTATTTTTAGGATTTAATTTTTGTCCTAAAGCACAAACCAGAAGTTGATAATAAACCTACTCATTCACTTTCTAGGGTGACCTTGATTATCTCATCTTTAGAATTTCATATTCCTAGATTTGGCAGGCTTAAAACTTTAACAAATTTGTCCAAACTTCCATCTAATTTGCATTGAGCATGTAAAGAATGGACAATCTTCTATTATTCTCATTAGTAAATATTCCATCTACAATGGATATTTATATAAAGGAAGAAAAGTATGCATCTACAAGAGTTTATTTAGGGCATTTCTGATTATAGAGTTACATTCATGAAGGATAGCGAGGCACTATGGAAAAATGAAGATTATTCAACTCCTTGAATCAAGATTTTTTTACTTTCTCTCAAGCGGGATGTGAACAAAATTTTTACTCAATGCTAAATCTATAGAAAAGCCAAAACCACAAAACAGTCATTTGGATGATATTGTGCCTTAATGTACCCTTTAGACCTTGGGAAGACCATTCCATGGACTTTGCATTAGGACTCCCTAGGACGCCTTGAGGACATGATAGCATATTTGTGATTGTTGATAGATTTTTCAAGATGACACACTTCCTACCTTGTTCCAAGTCTAGTGACGCCTCACACATAGCAAGTCCAATCATTAAGAACATTGTTAAAATCCACGATCTTCCCTCCACTATAGTTTCTGACCAAGGCATTAAATTTGTATCATAGTTTTGGAAAACTTCGGGGAAAACTTATGGGTATAACACTTAAATTCTCCTCAACCTTTCATCCCCAAAGTGATGACCAGACTAAAATATTTAATAGATCATTAGAAAATCTTTTTAAAAGTTTAGTAGGTAAAAGCTTAGAAAATTGGGACAATTATTTACAGTCGAATTTGTCCGCAATAGCTCAGTTTCTAGGACCAACAATAGGAACCCATTTTAAATAGTTTATAGTTACAATCCTAAAAAACTAGTTGATCTTGCAAACATTTTCACCCATGTATTTTTTGATTCTATATTTACATTTACTGAAGATCTTTGAAGTCTTCATAAAGATGTTAAAGAACAATTAGAAGTTTCAAATACCAAATATGTTATCTAAAAACAAAAATAAAAAATTTTAAGGAATTTAACATACGTGATTCTGTACTGATCAAAATCCCTCCTGAGATGTATCAATCCACTTCATTTAGAAAATTATAATTTAGGACCTGTAGGAGATTATTAGAAAAGTTAAGTTTAGTGCTTATATTACAAATTTACCTAAAGATATGCTTATTAGCCATGTATTTATTGTGGAAGATCTAATACCTTTTAAAGGAGTTAACCAACCTTTGAATGAGCAGGATACTTCTTTTACATGACAACAGGATCACCTTTTGCAAGGGCTGACCCAACATTCATTCTATGAAGTAGACCACATTATCACATTTGAGAAGGACCACACAAGTGATCAAGGATTCCTAATGAGGCGGAAGGATAAACCACATATTGATGATGCTTGGATCGCTAGAGAGGACTTGCAAAAGCATAAACCAGACTTAGCAAATAAGTATGTTGATTTCAACTCTCACATGGAGCTAGCTCAACTACTAGACTTAAATCAAGGATCAAATCAAGCTTGAGAGAACTTTGGTGACTTCAATTATGTCTATTTTCATCATGTTACGTAGTATTTAATTTCCCTTAATGTGTGTGTTAATTATTTGTGTTTATGTAAAGTGTATGAGTATTTATGTTGCAGTCAAAAAATTACATATGTGGAGTCAATGCATGAGAGGAAGCAAAGGGTGTCGGCCATAGGAGGTACTTTGCGTGGTTACATGTAAGAGTTGGCCACAAGCTCTTTCCTTGTAGTGAAAAGGTGTTATAAAAGGGTATTTGTTATGTGTATTTAAACTACTCTATTCTTTGAAATGAAGGTACTGTTTGATTGTGTGTAACACTTGGATGAAAAATTCTCCGATGGTTTGAGGCTTGGTGGCCAATCACCCAAGAAATTTTATGATAACCTTGGAAACCTACTTTTAATGAGTAGGAAATTCAATTTCTCTACACTTCTTTCATACGAATTTTGTATTTTTTGAGTTGTGGTGTTGTTTAATTTTATGTTCAAAAACAAAAACCCTAAATCTCATTTGTTATCCCTTTATTTTGTTGGTTTAAGTAAAAATCCATAAGTCTATGTTTTTTAGAAATATTTGTACTACTTTGACCATTTATCCTGATCCACCCATCAAATCATCTCCAAAATTTACAAATTTGGTGTCATTCTTTTTGTCTCTTTCCTTCAAAAGTATAAGAAAATATATGTAGTGTTATGTTAAAATTATTAGAGAAAAGTTTGCCCAAAAAAAGCACTAGCTTTTTGTCTTGTGTTTCTAGTTCCTATTTTTATAAGTTTCCTGTCCCCAAATCTATATCTCCAATGGTCCAAACCCAACCAAACTCTCCTCCTGATCTATACTAGAGTGTTTCTAGTATCATCTACAATTTAAATTACTAAATTCTATAGCTCCACAAAAAGAGCTAGCACATTTCCCAAATTAGGTCATTTTTGGACAAAACTGACATATCTCCAATATATTCATGTTTCTTCTATCAAATCAATCCCAAAACTAACCAAACTTTTCGGATCAATAGCTAACGCCCTATCATACAATCCAAGTACTTGTTTGCATGATTTAGAGTTATGTGAAGAAAGTTCTAACTGTATGAATTGAGATTTTCAGATTCTAGTCAGAATTTGGAATAAACCCTACCCCACTCATAACACTTCCAATTAAGCTCCACTATAAAAAACTGATGTGCTGACATTTGAAGAAGAATGATTCCACTTGGTCACTTAGTCATCTTGAGCCTCAACAACAGCAATGAGCTCACACACTGACCATATCAAGTTATCTTATAACTTACATCGAAAAAGAAATATTTGATTTGATTCCTAATAAAATTACTCTGCAATATTACAAAAAAATGCAAAATAGATCAAAAAAATTGTAACATTATTCAATTCACCAATTATAATGAAATACGAGATTTGATTTTGAATTATATGTTATTTACTTCATTTTTAATTTTTTTTTTAATTTTTATATAATAAGTTTGTCCACCCTAAAAAATGGTCAGTTTCAACCGACTTCATTGATTACTCAAATCTGCAAACATATACCAATAAATCATAAAACATGATAAGAACACTCCTCAAAAATTGTTCTATTCCTCTCATGCTTAAGAGTCTGAGCTTATCCATCTATTTAGTTGACAGTAAAATTCAACACTTTCAAGGTTTCAATTGTTGATGTTAATAAAATAGAAAGAAGCAATACGTGCTGTTTTCAAATTTCAATTAAGGGAAGCCTTTCTATGAACAGGCATACAAATTTGATGCAACTTAATGCAATTTAGTCAAACAACCGCTAAAAAATATGATAATGTATCATATGAAAATCAATTGGGCTTCTTATGAAGGAATTTCTTGCAAAAAAAAAAAAAAAAAAGTTTCAATATTTAACATACTGTTAGTTCTCAATAATCAAAACATAAGCCTGAATAAAAAAGGGTACCTTAAGGCTCTCAACAACGCCAGGAACGACCTCATGCTCAAGTCCAGAATATTCACCCTCCGTATTCTCCCTGATCACGACGATATCAACGTTTTCGTGCCTCGTAGGCAAGCCAGGGAGATTGAAGCAGTTAACCAGCGAAGCATAGAGATCGAGCTCCTTTCTCAGCTGCACGTTGAGCGAACTCACACCTCCACCCACCGGCGTCTCCAATCCTCCTTTAATGCAGACCTTGTTCCTCCGAATCGACTCAATCACCTCCGCTGGAACCGATGTCATGGAGCCGTGTACTTCGTAGGTCTCGAAGTACACCGGCGCGTGCATCGCCTCCATGACCTGCTTCACGGCTCCGGTGACTAGGGGACCGATGCCGTCGCCGGGAATCAATGTCACCGGCCTTGGTGAGCCGTCGCCGGGACGGGGCATGTAGGTTACCCATCGCGAAATATCGATGGATCCCAACCCTGGACGAGAGAAATAAGAAGCATTGTCTCGGAGGATATGTTTTAGGCGAGGAACAGATCTCCACGCCATGGACGAAGGATCGGGGTTCTCGTGAGTTAACTCTGGTGAGATGTGAGGGTCCAGGATCAAGTTCGAGGGTACCGGACGCATAGAGATTTCATTGGATAAATCCAGTCTGTTCGAGCCGATTATTTCGAAAATAAAACTGTCCAATAGGTCTGATTCAGCTCATTGTTTTGAAATAAAATCATTCTGAATTTTAATGCAAAATCCTGCCCGTTCCAACACATTATTTTAAAAATAAAACCACCTATTTTCTTCTAACATCAAAGGATGGGTTTCCCAGAGCATTATTCATCTATAATTTTGGTATTTAGGGTTTGGTTCGTTTGAAATCCCTCATACTGTTGGTCGTTAGACGCATAGTTGTCGCAGTCCTTCTCTCACCATGTAAGTGATGTTTAGATTTTTTTCGAAACAAGTCTTATTTAAGGATTTAGGATTTAAGATGCCAACTCATGTACTTCTCTTCGTGTTTCCAAGCAAGATAATATAGATGAATGGAAGAACATAATAAAAACAACGAGCGTAAGAGTCGACAAAAAACATCAAGATAATTTTGGTTGTGTCGTTGCACTTGCATTAAAAAGTTTAAGTAACTTAGATAAACATTGTTTCATATAGTTTTTACTTGCATTGTGCAATGGCAAGTTTGGTAGTTAAATTAACCATATGGAATGATGATTTAGTATTGGAAGAGAAACTGTTTCATCTTTCCACAGCAATATTATGTATGTGAATAACAAGATATCATTACACTAATAACACCACAATAATATCACAATGACACCACAATGACACCACAGTGACACCATAATATAACCACAATAACACTACAATAGCATCACAATATGATGGCGTGAATAACACTACTGTACAATCATAATAACATCACACTACAACCACAATAACACCACAATACAACCACAATAACACCACAATATAACCACAATAGGACCACAATACGACGGCATGAATAACACTAATGTACAACTACAATAACACCACAATATAACCATAATAACACCGCAATAACATCACAATACGACGACACAAATAACAATATTGTACAACCACAATAACATCACAATACAACGACACAAATAACAATATTGTACAACTACAATAACATCACAATACAACCACAATAACACCACAATAAAATCACAATATAACACAATAATATCGCAATAACACCACAATACAACGACACGAATAACACTATTGTATAACCACAATAACATCACAAGACAATCATAATACAACCACAATAACACCACAATACAACCACAATAATATTGTAATAATATCACTACATGAAGGCAAGAAATAACACCACTGTACAACCGTGTTTGCACGACAATGATACAATGTCATTACATTATTGACACAACAAAATGACGGCACGAATAACGCCATTGTAAATCCACATTTGCATTATAATAAGACTAAAACATTAATAACACCATAATACAATTAAAATAACTCCGCAATACAAAGGCACGAATAACACCACTGTACAATCACATTTTGCATGACAATAACACCATTCATTACACTAATAACACCACAATACGACGACACAAATAACAACAATGTACCACATTTGCATGATAATAACACAATTGCATTAAACTAATAACACTGCAATATGATGGCACGAATAACACCACTGCACATCCACATTTGCATGACAATAACTTGTCATTACACCAATAACACCACAATACAATCATAATAACATCATAATACGATAACACGAATAATAGCATTTTACAACCATATTTGCATGACAATAATATGTCATTACACTAATAAAATCATAATACTACTATAATATCACCACAATAACACCATATTTTGGAAGTTCTATGGTGGTATTTTTGTGGTGTTATCACGATATTATTGTGGTGTTATTGAGGTGTTATTGTGATGTTATTGTAGTGTTATTTAAGTGGTATTGTGACAATTCTATATTAATATTTGTCTTGTGTTATTGTGGTGTTATTGTGATATTATTTGAGGGATATTGTGGCGGTTTTGTGGTGATATTCGACTGGTGTTATTGAGGTCTAATTGTGGTGTTATTATGGTGTTGGAATAGTATTATTGCAGTTTTGTTGTGGTATTTGACTGGTGTTATTGTGGTGTTATTGTGATATTATTTGAGTGATATTGTGGCAGGGTGTTTTTGCATGTTTTGTGGTGATATTCGACTGGTGTTATTGAGGTATAATTGTGGTGTTATTATGGTGTTATAATAGTATTATTGCAGTTTTGTTGTGGTATTTGACTAGTGTTATTGTGGTTTTATTATAGTATTATTGACGTATTATTGTGGTATTATTGTGGCATTATTTGAGTGGTATTGTGGCGGTTCTGTGATAGTATTCGACTGATCTAATTGCAGTTTTATTATGGTGTTATTGCATTTTTATTGCGATGTTATTGAGGTTTTATTGCGGTGTTATTGTGGTGTTATTATGATGTTATTACAATATTTTTGTGGTGATTGAGGTGTAAATTTGGTGTTATTTGATTAGTATTTGAATATTTTCATTAAATTGTTATTATAGTGTTATTGTGATATTATTGTGAAGTTTTTTTAGCGATACTATGGCGGTGGTAGTAATTGACTAGCATTATTCAGGTGTTATTGAGGTATTATTATTATGTTATTGCAGTATTATTTTGGTGTTATTGAGATTTAATTGTGATATTGTGAGTTGGTGTTTTTGTATATAGGCTTTTTATGTTGAGTTTGTGTTTTTGCATGTACATTTTTTTATGGTAATATGATTGCGTAGAGGTGTTAATTTTATGTTACTATGGTGGTATCTCAGTTGTATAACATGATCATTTTGGTTGCAACACTGTCGTACTCTATTGTTGATTCATTATTATTGTGGTGATACGTATATTGTATCATGGATATATTTTGGTATAATAAGAGTATTAATTTGTCCTGACATATTTAGTACTACCATGTATATATTTTGTTGTTACTTTGTTATGGACATATTTGTAGTGTATCATAGGCATATATTTTGATGTTATTTGGTTTCTAATTTGTCGGCACATATTTTGGCATTATTTTAGACATGTTTTTATGTTATTGTAGACATATCTTGGTGTTATTATGGACATATTTTGGTGTTATTATGAACATATCTTTATGTCATTGTGGACATATTTTGGTGTTATTGTGGATATATTTTGGTGTTATTGTCGAGATAATTTGATGTTTTTTATGGACACAACTAGCATTAACAAAATATATTTTTCCATTATCTTCTTTTGTATTTTTTTAAACTCAAGGATGTTTAACTGCAGGTGTCAACCATTTGTAGTAAAATTTATTATTAGTATGATCAAACACACCTTATTTGAGAAAACTACAAACACCTTGAAAGTTTTGAATGTGCTTCAATTTTTTGATTTGCCTCCATATTTACAAGATAATTTCCTAACACTACACATACTGAAATGTTGGGATGTTCAACAGAGTGTATTCAGGATGGGCAGGAAAGAATTAAGATTAGTCTATGATCAGGTTGCCCTACTGATAGGCATGCCTAACATAGGAGAACCGGTACACTAGAATAAACGTCCCTCTTGTGGTGTAACTATGAGACAGATAAAGTTTAACCTAGTGAAGTTTCATTTTGAGGAGTGTTCCATGTCATTTGATGAACTATTTTTAAAGGTTTTTTTAACAAATTTAATTTTTCCTTCGAGTAACTTTAGTGTGTCAAAAAGGCTTTACACTTTTTTCCTAGAATGTGCATTCTTTTCCTTATTTTAATTGGTCTGCTACCATTTGTGAGTTTCTTATTAATCAAGTGAATGTCGTTGTCAAAAAATTAAGGTGGAATCAGTCATTAGGATATATCAATGGTTTTGTTTTTCAATTCATGGTTAGTGTGATGTTTACCCCATTTAAAATACCTTTTCTTTAGTCCAAGCAAATTATGGTTTGACCTTTACACAACTCTGATTTTATGAAGATACATCTATTGTTACTCCTACTGCACCTGAAGCCAGGCCTCACATGTTGAGGTGGCCAATAAATGTGAGTTAGGCAAGTTCATATGTTAACAAGTCCCATGGGCATGAGAAGCTCAATTTCACAATACAAACATCACACACAAAATGCCAAACTAACATGTTGATCTTACTTACTGAAGTGACCTGTTGATCTCTCACTAACTATCCCTTGAGGTGTAACAAGTCAAGTTGCAGTCAAGGTTGTGGCTGATGCCCCAAAGCGTCGCAAAGCGGTTGACCACTTCATGCAATTATACGTGTCCATGTAATATGTGATTTTAAAGGAGAACACCATATCATTACCATGAAGAAGCTTTGTAAGAAATCAATTTGAAAAAAAAAATTCAAAGCTATAGTTTATTACTATTCAAACCAAGTTCGATGAGATCTGAAAACTATCAAAGAAAATCCTAAGTGTAGCAAATTCAGAAGAGAACAAAATCGAAAAAAACATGGGTCAATTTTTTTTTGGTATTTTTTCCAAGACTGATGAGAATCGTGTCTCTATGATTTGGTGTGACACTTTAAAGCTATAGTTTATTACTATTCAAACCAAGATTTTTGGTATTTTTTCCAAGATTGATGAGAATCGTGTCTCTATGATTTGGTGTGACACTTGGCTTGATTTTCATACAAATTCCTCTTTCATATATTAAGTTCTTCTTAAGCCTATGCTTAGATCCCAAGAAGATTTGGAATTCCATAAAGATAGCTTCCTATCTTTATGGCTTGCCCAATAAATTTTAATCCCATTTAATTGATTGTAAGGTCTAGAATAAATTTTTTTTTTCATTTTGATCTTGTGGTTACCCTAATCATTTCACTTCGCTTCTATTGAAGTTGTAGATCACAATGGATATTAACGTTCTAACTAGCTATATTAAGAGTAAGTGAAGACCAGAGGATTAACCAACAAGTTTTATTAAATTAAAGCGTATAAAATGATATGAGAAATCATGAATAAAAATCAATCCAAGAAATTTGTCCCAAAAATTAAAGAGGCACAAAAAATAGTTAAGCTACTCATGGCTCGAGAGAAAATCAAAGGCAATTCCCTTGAAATAAAACCTACAAGAAACATTTTATTGAGATAAA